AGACATCTGAAATTATGCTTCATATATTCACGAGGGATGAACACAAAGTGTTTCAATTTCTTTCAAAATTTTTTTCCAATAATCTTCTTTTAGTTTTTAAAAAAAAAAAAATATTTTCCGTCTATATCTATTCACTTTGCCATCTGTTTAGTATTGCCCATGTGAACCATAGACATTTTAGGTACATTAAATAAAAAATCTTTAAACAGACAGTAGCATGAAACGTTTCACTTCAGATATTGATTTTCTGATCTAAAACAATTGGTTTACCAGGAATGATCACCAACAAAGTTAAAAGTACAAAATATTACATTTTGTATTAAAGGCTAACTAAGCCCAAAAATTGCTAACATTTAAAATGCTGAGATATTGTGTAGGGAAGGAAATGTCTGTCTGTATGTTTGTTTGTTATACTTGTCTGATCAATTTCTTAAGAAAGGTCAAAAGTGAAGGTCACATTTACACTCAGACTGTGTAAATCCTATGTTCAATTTATCTTGACAATTTCATGCAATAAGCCTTAAAGCTAATTCAATTTTATAGGTACATTGCCAACCTTATAAATATATATTTAAAGATCGTGAGGTTAATGTTCACAGTGATGCCCATTTGATTTATAACATGAGAAGTAATAAGCGTAAATGTTTCATACTTTTTAGGAACCTTGCCTATGGCCAGTATGTGACCCTTAATGATTTTGAGGTCATTGGTTGAAGTCAAAGTGATACTTCATGTAAAATCTTTGTCTAATCAAGAACTTGAACTTTTTCAATCAAAGGGAACTTATTACTTGTCTATTATATACAGAAGTCAAAAGTTTATGACTAATTTTATTTAAAGAAAAAAGAGGAAAAATGTTTTGGAAAGCACTGTTTCAATAATAAGACATTTGCAATAAGTGTAGTTGCTGAACTAATACAGTTACTGGAGATGCTACACACAGCTGAACAATCTATTTATTTTCAACTGATTTGGCCAGTACTGAAGTAATGTAGTAGTATTTTTGTATGTTGCATGGATGACAAAGAACCACTTTGTTAATTTTTTGTTAATTCATGACAAATTATTTCACGTTCAACACTGCCATCGTCTTCAAATGGTAACTGATAACCAATTTCTAACATTATCTTTATATTTTATAATAATAACAATCCATTGTTGACACATTATAGAACTCTGATTTGCCTGTTAAGAAACAGACAATATAATATTATAATTATATATATTTGCTACTAACTATAATGAGCATGTTCTACACTTTAATCCATATAAGATATTTTTTCCCGATATTATTCGACATAACTTACTCTAAAATATGATCACTGGACTGTTGATAGCTGCGTCTTCCCCATCTGTGTGACCCCTTAATGACTTTCATGTGGATAAACTCAGTCAGGTAAGTGTACCCTAATCATCTAATTAACTATAGAAAATGTAATGGAAGGATCTTAACTACCCGAACCATCATAAATAAAAATATGTGAGATAAGGCACAGTGTACAATAAAGTGGTGAGTTTTGCATCTGCTGCATCAGAATAAACAGAATAAAAAGCAAAACTCTTATTTTTTACATTTAGCGCCTTTTTGTAATACATGTAACTTAAAATTAGTCGGTCAAAATTGTAGTATAAGTATTCATAATGCATCATCTCAGATCTGGCTATCACTGTAACTCGACGTTCTATATATGATCCCCAGCCCCACCCCTCTCGCCTCAATCCCTCCTTTTAGGAATGTTTCTGAGTGTACCCTATTGGAAAATAATTTTAGCAGATTTTAAGTGAGTATTAAGTTGAGAATTTATTTAAATATATTGTAATTTTCACAGTATTCAGTTTATACCACACTTTAAAAATTATATATGTATATAATTATGCAAATAAAACAATTTTCAAACATCGAATAATATGTAAAATGTGTACTAAAACTATTTGTGCTCATTATATTTAATTAATAAATTCCATGCATTAATTTGTTATTGGAAATTTGACTTAGAATTTATAGAAAATAAATTTCTAATTACCTCCCTTTATTTACATGAAATGTTAAATTGGGTAATATCTTTATAAATAATGCTTATTGGAACTAAAAATATTGACAAATCTTCATTTGAGCATCATATTTATGAAATAAAACCATGAAAAAATTGTGTTACATGATCTTTAAATTGTTATTTAACTTGCAAACTGTATTGTATTGCAAATACTGATCGACAGCTGAACTTCAGTATTTTAAAAGCCTCCTGCTATTTACATACTTACAAAAAACTGTGACCATTCACATGGTAACAAAAAGCTGTGATCATTTACATGGTTACCATGTAATTGTAAGGCAATTATCACCAGTGTCATCATCAGTCCAGTAAGATCTTGTTCAGCTGGACAAATTTCGCACTTTTATAGAGTATTGTGATACACTATCTAGGCTATAAGCTGTTTCGCTATAGAAGAGGAGAGGCAGTGAAATATTGACAGAAGACTTAATTAGAATAATTATGTACGAAAATTTGGCTTAGACTCAAAATAAATTTCAAATTACCTCCCTTTATTTACAGGGAATATAAATTCGGTAATATCTTCACAAATATTGCTTTTTGGAGCTAACAAAATTGATAAACCTTCATTTGAGCATCAAATTTATTATATAAAACCATAAAACGTTGAGTTACAGGATCTCTATCTGCTTCCTGCGCGTGCATTATACACTGTGCTGATACCGAGATAGTATCTAAATGAATTGTATACGACTAATGTCATTTATTGCAGAATTAATTATTAAATGTATGTATTATCTACAATGGTAACTTTCTAATAACATACTTTACTCAAGTGTATACTACATCCGCCAAAAAGTTGTGCATTGGCGTTGAACATTGTATATGCAAAAAAATGAATTGAATTGTGGTGCAATAGGTGGATGGTTGAAAATCGAACTAATGCAGCATCATACTTAAGTTTATAAAAAATTATAATTGCTACGATTCAAATAAGATCATGTTCATTTATTCCGTATCAAATATTACAAAGGTTTGAAAGGTTTTCATATAAACCTCATTTAGTAATTAATGAAAAAATCTTTTAAAAAAGTGAAGCATGTGACATGAGGTGTTGTAAATCCTACATTTCTTTTAGTCTGATAAATGCAAAAATAATGAAAAATAAAAGGTACATTAATGTAGAAGTGTGCAATGCAAGAATTTGTATCTCTGTACTATATACACACATATAAGTAAAGTAACGTAACGTAAAGTGAAGTGAAGTGAAGTGAAGTGAAGTGAAGTGAAGTGAAGTTAAGTAAAGTAAAGTAAAGTAAAGTAAAGTAAAGTAAAGTAAAGTAAAGTAAAGTAAAGTAAAGTAAAGTAAAGTAAAGTAAAGTAAAGTAAAGTATACGTAAAGTATACGTAAAGTAAAGAGTAAAGTAACGTCTTTAATGATCGAGGTTATAGATCTTCCATGTGGACCTCAGCATACACATAACAAATAAAATACTTTAGACATTTTAAACAACATATATGCACAGTGCATTATATAACGTAAAAACATTGAGAAGTCACATTTTCATTACCTCAGTATGGAAAATACAGCTTGAATTCGCTATTCCTTTCATTATCTGTTTACATCAATATTGACAAATAGGGGGTCGATAATTCTCACAAAAAACATAAATCTTTTAAACACCTAAAAAATTACTGTTTAGCGTAGTGACATTGTTTGTTCCGTGAACGTAGAGACTCTGGTTCGAATCTTTAAATAAGCATTTTTTATTTCCTTTTATTTTTTTTGTTTTTAGGTATTTTTCAAATAACAGGATTTCAGTTCTTCACACACGGCTTTTTGAGAACATTAAGTTAAACAAAGATTCTCATTCAACGGACTGAAATAGTCAACAAATTCGCTGATTAGAGTGTTTTAATGAGCGAACAAATAGCAATTGAAAAAAAAAAACAGATATATATATAGAAATGCGCAAAAATTGTTTAAAATGGGGTGAATTGGTGAAATCAATAGTACTTTTCAATGTGTCCAATGACTGTTAATAACATTTACAAGTTTAGCTTTCATTTTTGCAAAACATCAGTTTAAATGCAGGTTCATGAAAGAGAAAATCTTACTATAAAAATATATTTTGAAAGTTTAAAACCGAATAATGTCAACGTTATCGGGTTCAACTAATTAATACGTTATTTTTACAAGTAAAATCAGAGCAATATTGGGAGGGGGGAGGGCAAAATAAAAACAACTACATTATTTTGTCTATTCTTTATCATTAAAACAATTCACTTACAAGCATTTAATTCCGATTTCGAAAACATAAAATATATTTTTTGGTGAATTGTAATATTGCATTGGCATATGATGCCTGTATGATAATAATTGTATATTTACAAAATAATACATTGTTTTTACATCTATTTCTTAATTAAATAACAAAAGTTAATTTCCTTGCATATAAATAGTCGCTCCACTTCAAAATTGTGGCGTACGGGAAAACGAGCGAACAGCATTTCCAATATAGAGTGAAAGGCCTATGTAAATGGTTAATTGTAAGTATAGTTATGTTTTTGTCTTGTCATTCATTTAAGTTGTATACTTTAATTCATTAAAAATGTATATTTATTGTAAATCGAGCGATGTTGTTCATGGCGTGAAATATATACAGCAAATTTAGCGTTCACTCCACCTTAAGACCTTATTGTATTTTTACTTTTTGAACAGCCCTCAACTGATCAAGTATGTGAGACAAACTTGAAATAAAGTGCCATGCTTAGATGTGCGTATGGAAAAATATATCTGCGGTCAATAATGTATTGGATATATTACTGGAATAATATCATTAATATACATGAAGGAATATTCAGCTTTTGATAAATATATGTATTACGGAAGTATGTTTTATTTCCTTTATCCTTTCTAAGTCTATTTTATTCTATAGGATTTTTTTATGTTTTCAGTTTGTTAATTTTGATTTTTTTTAATGACAAATAAAAAGGATTTATTTTGTTATTTAAGGTTTCTGTCTAGGTGAAAATAAAAGAGGAGGAAAATGAGACCATATACAGTGGGTTATTTAGCCGGTACAAGTGCTGTTATTTGCCTTTGTTATATAATATACAAGAACCAGACTGGACCATTGTCTGATGAGCATAAACCTGGCGTCACAAATGAAGTCGTTTTGGAAGGAGTATTTTCACAAGATCGTAAAAATGCCGAACATTCTAAAAATTTTCAACCTATGACTATACCCATGGTTCGAAACAGCTCGTTTGATTATAAGGCTGCCATGATGAAACTGAACAAAGCAAAGGTAAGCCAAGACGACCCACGGCTTATAAAGTTGATAAGAGATTATTACATCGAGCCACCTTCAACAGCACCATATAACCTTCTGAATCCAGAACGACTGGAGTTCTCCAATGGACAGACCCCTTTTGTTGATAGCAGATTAAATTATATGGTAAGTAAAATAAAGATGAAGTTATATGATATATGTTTCATTTTATATTAACGTAACATATTTTCTCTTGTTGACCACTGTGGCTGAATGTTAAAAGAAACATTAGATTTAACTATCTATGTGGTAAAATATTGAACCTTTGAAATATCATCCATGAAATGTCACCAGAGATGATTTAAAACAGAGCATTTTGTCCGTGCATGGATAAATCTTTTTTATTACTTGAAACAAAAATTAATGCTCACCATTATGTGATGTAGTGTTGAACACATGAAGCAGGCAATCTCTAGGTCATAAGTCAAGGGCACACTTGGAGATCAGAGGAAAACAGTGTTCCATATAGAGAAGCTTTTTAAAAAGCATGGAGCCATTGTTATATAACTTGGCAGAATGTTCATCATTGTGAGGTACAGAATTTAGGCCCCATTTTCAAAGGTCAAGGTCAAATGCAGGGATCAAAGGTCAAATGTGAGAATTGATCATATAGTCATCATGACGTATGCGATTTTAATGTAAATGTTCACCGTTGACTGAGAAACCTGAGCTTTTGTTACATGGGGATATTGGGATCCTTGGGGAAGTACCACACTTTTGAATTTTTGAAATTGAAATCTAACACATAAATAAATTGTTTCAAATTTAAAGCAGGGCAAATCCATTACATAGATTCAGCAGGTTTATGGTTCAATTATAGCAAAACTTTACTATATATTATAAATGTTATTTGAATCTTGATAGTTCTGTGTGAAAGTTTTTTTTTCATTACAACTTCCAAGTCTGTAGCCAATTTTTCTTCGACATTTTTTCAGGAGGGTGGGTTTTACATTGAATGTGGAGCTTTGAATGGAGAGAAAGGATCAAACACACTCTTCTTTGAGAAAGTAAGGAAATGGAACGGTTTACTCATAGAAGCTGATCCAGAAAACTATAAAGTTTTGAAGACAAAGAACAGAAAGGCGTTCTCTATGCATTCTTGCTTAAATCCAAAACCATATCCAGCATTGGTAAGTCAATGAATCTTGTTTGATGTGACATGAAATATTATAATATAAATATTCAGATAACAGTTATTCAGGTTTCATATTTTGCATTGTTATTTGACCAAGTTCATTCTCATTGGTGTGAGAGTGCAAGCCAAAAGGCAATAGGCCAAATAGCAAAGTAAATGTGAAATTATATCACTTGAATTTAATATGTGATAATCATATAAGAATGACTAGCATTTAACTGACGATTCGAATATGGTCTTAACGGCCTTTACAGTCTAACCTGTATAAGCTGTCACCTTCATATAAAATGCACCTGTCTGCAATAGTCAGTTTTAAGCCTGATAGAAATTCAATTAGATGTATGTTGTTTAAAATTGCAATAAATACAGTAATTACTTAACAAGCTTTATTAGCTCAAGGCCAGAGTGACATAAACATTTGATCCCAAAATAAATAAGGGGCTAATATAAATCTGGACCAACCTCAGGCCAAATGTTGTTTAGTTATTGGTCGGAAAAGGCGTGGTGTATGGTTCGTTCGAAAAGGCAATGCAAAGCAATAAAGTCCAACTGCTACCAACTTTTTAGAAAATCCCTTGTTTTCATCATTTCTGCAGAGGTCTTTATAAGATAAGGGTATCTGCATATTTTATACAAGGAAAATGCTATAAATATGTATTATTCATAAATGTTGAGAAGTTAAAATATAAATACAAAATTGCAGATACACATAAATAAATATAGTAAATCAAACACATGAATGTCTTTCAGTTACAGCAATAGCAATATAGCCTTGCTAGTTTTCTAAACACAAAACATTTACAACATAGACAGTGACTTTACGTATTAATTCTCATGTATGTCATTATGCTAAATAACCAATAATATAACCAAGGTAACCGTCTGATTTGCACCTGCAAACGGTCATCTGAATACCATTACAGCGTGCAAATTAAATGGTCACACCATATAAAAGCATAGTCTGTATTTCTAAAAAAAGTGGCTTCATAGAAAAACATTTTGAGTATGCCTGACTAAAAGATACAACAAAAGCATGTCCATGACCAAACCTATTATTGTAGCAATTGTATAGCCCCAGTGTTCAAAGATAAGGAAAAATGACGGACATCAGAAAGTGTCTGAAGTAAAAAACCTGTTACACTTCATAGTGAGGGGGCATAATATAAACCAGTGTGCTAAAAAGCATAAAAACAGTAGACTTGCAGGTATAAAACACTAAAAAATTACATAAAAATTGGACAATGTTCTGCAAAGTTATTGAAAAAAAACACATAAAAAATAATTAATTAATATAACATTGTTTGCCTTTGATTTTAGCCAGCATTAAAGCACTCCTGATGGTTATAAGGCAGTTTTACTTATTATGAAAAAGATTTTCAATAGATACAATTTTATGGCCAATCATAATTTAAGTTTTGAGGATATTATTAGAATTCAAGCTACTAGGCTTTGGTGATATCGCAAACATAAAGGGGATGGGTGGTAGGTGACTATGCTGGAATCACATTGTACACTGTGTACTTAAATGTTGTGCTGGTCAGTCAACCTATAAACAAATATGGACCAAATGTTCATCTTGACAAGGTTATATGCGGAGCATTATGCTGCCACTGTGCCAGCCTGTGTGTGGGTCACCCTTGAAGGTCAAATGTCAGAAAGTATCGTCACCGCTCTATAAATTCTGTGTTCCTATATCAGATGTGGACAGAGCTCGTGCCTTCACTGTGCTGGCTCAAGTTGAAGGTCAAGAGGCATAAAAGTGCCCACATTATAAATTGTATACTCCTTGAAAGAGTCCTTCAAACCTAGCCCAAATATTCACTTGCAAAACTATTGATGGTTATATTCACTTACATTAAATGTTGTGCCTAAGAAATGGTGGTGGTATTTGTTACTTACAGTGTGGCAGCACTACCCTACAGTATGGCAGCACTACCCTTTAATGTGACAGCACTACCTTACAGTGTCAAAGTGTGACAGCACTGTCTTACAGTGTGACAGCACTACCCTATAGCGTGACAGCACTACCCTACAGCGTGACAGCACTACTCTACAGTGTCACTATGTGACAGCACTGTTCTACAGTGTGACAGCACTACTCTATAGTGTGGCAGCACTATCCTACAGTGTCAAAAGGTAACAGCACTACCCTACAGTGTAGCAGCACTACTCTACAGCGTGACAGCACTACTCTACAGTGTCACTATGTGACAGCACTGTTCTACAGTGTGACAGCACTAACCTACAGTGTGGCACAGCACTACCCTACAATGTGGCAGCACTACCCTACAGCGTGACAGCACTACCCTACAGTGTGATAGTACTAACCTACAGTGTGACAGCACTAACCTACAGTGTGACAGCACTAACCTACCGTGTGACAGCACTAACCTACAGTGTGGCAGCACTAACCTACAGTGTGGGCAGCACTACTTTACAGTGTGGCAGCACTACTCTACAGTGTGGCAGCACTACCCTACAGCGTGACAGCACTACTCTACAGCTTGACAGCACTACCCAACAGTGTGACAGAACTAACCTACAGTGTGACAGCACTAACCTACAGTGTTGCAGTACTACCCTACAGTGTGATAGCACTACTCTACAGTGTGACAAAACTAACTTACAGTGTGGCAGCACTAACCTACAGGGTCAGGATGGCAGCACTAACCTACAGTGTGGCAGCACTACCCTACAGTGTGACAGCACTAACCTACAGTGTGACAGCGCTAACCTACAGTGTGATAGCACTAACCTACAGTGTGACAGCACTAACTACAGTGTGGCAGCACTACCTACAGTATGACAGCACTAACCTACAGTGTGGCAGCACAACTCTACAATGTGGCAGCAATAACCTACAGTGTGGCAAACTAACTTACAGTGTGACAGCACTAACCTACAGTGTGGCAGCACTAACCTACAGTGTGGCAGCACATCTACAGTGTGGCAGCACTAACCTTATAGTGTGACAGCACTAACCTACAGTGTGACAGCACTAACCTACATCGGGCAGCACTACCTACAGTGTGACAGCACTAACCTACAGTGTGGCAGCACTAACCTACAGTGTGGCAGCACAACTCTACAGTGTGGCAGCACTAACCTATAGTGTGACAGCACTAACCTACAGCGTGACAACACTAACCTACAGTGTGGCAGCACTAACCTACAGTGTGACAGCGCTAACCTACAGTGTGCATACAGTACTAACCTACAGTGTGGCAGCGCTAACCTTCAGTGTGACAGCACTAACCTACAGTGTGACAGCACTAACCTACAGTGAGACAGCATTACCTACAGTGTGACAGCACTAACCTACAGTGTGACAGCACAACTCTACAGTGTGACAGCACTTACCTACAGTGTGACAGCACTAACCTACAGTGTGGCAGCACTAACCTACAGTGTGGCAGCACAACTCTACAGTGTGACAGCACTAACCTACAGTGTGGCAGCACAACTCTACAGTGTGACAGCACAACTCTACAGTGTGACAGCACTAACCTACAGTGTGACAGCACTAACCTACAGGTCGGCAGCACTACTCTACAGTGTGGCAGCACTACTCTTCAGTGTGGCAGCACTACTATACAGTGTGACAGCACTAACCTTCAGTGTTACAGCGCTACCCTACAGTGTGGCAGCACTTCTCTACAGTGTGGCAACACTACTCTACAGCGTGACAGCGTTACTCTACAGTGTGGCAGCACTACTCTACAGTGTGACAGCACTAACCTACAGTGTGACAGCGCTAACCTACAGCGTGACAGCACTAACCTACAGCGTGACAGTACTACTCTACAGTGTGGCAGCACTTACCTACAGTGTGACAGCACTAACCTACAGTGTGGCAGAACTAACCTACAGGGTGACAGCACTACTCTACAGTGTGGCAGCACTAACCTACAGGATGACAGCACTAATCTACAGTGTGGCAGCGCTACTCTTCAGGGTAGCAGCACTAACCTACAATGTGGCAACACTAACCTACTGTGTGGCAGCACTACCCTAGTTAATACACAACCTGCCAAAAATCGTTAAAACCAATAAGTAATACAGCACAATTATTTTCTTTGATAATCATCAATAGAGTTTTATTTATATTTTATTTTGTCTGTTTTTTTTAAAGATGCACTAATTCAATTGGTATAGTTCAGCAAAAGTTCATTTGTCTTTCACTGCTGTTTCAGAAATCATGTGGGATTTATGTATTAAAAGTCACTTGTAGAGAGTTTTTTGGTAATTATTTAATGGTTTAAGTTATCAGACAGGAAATCCTAATTAGGTGGACTGGTCACCAAGAAATGACCAAAACTGTGTTAAAATTTGCGCAAAAACAAAGCAAATGAATAAACAGCATATTACTGTAGCAGACAGCAAGTCCCACTGTGAGTAGCAATGACTTCTTTGTGTCACTCGGACTAACACTGATGTTAACATTCCAGATTACAAAAAACTTTGTTTATTTATTAAAGAAATTATATTAAGATTCAAATGAGCCAAAAATTGTATAAATTTAATGTAGTGGAGAACCCTTTTGAAGTATTTGTTTTAATACTGACTCTCTCGCAATATTTATGTTAACAATTTATATATCATGTTATTTTGATACTGATTCTGAAGCCTCATTTATTATGTACATGTAATTGTATTATTACCTCATGTTGTCATGTTTGTATGATCTGTGTGAATAAATAAATGAAATTGAAACAAAGAGCAATGCATTATTTATGTTTTGGTATATTGATAGCTACGACACCTAGTTTATTTGCAAACTGTGAGGTAAGATGTATAAGTCAGATAATAAAGTGTCAATATCAACCTCATAATTGATAATTAGTATGTCCAAAGAAATTATCAACCATGATTATCAATATTGGATGTCAAATGTAGTACATGTAAGTTATATTGGATGACAAATATAGACAATACATGTACATTGATATATTGAGAATTACTCATTCCTTTTTTTTCCTCTTTTTTTATAATTTCAGTAAAATACATGTAAATCTTTGCACAATGATGTCAATTGTGTATTGCCAAGAGTTCATTTGTGTCACAAAATGTTCAAATGATATGAGCAGAGATTTAAAGTACCAAATGTACACACAAAAGTTAACAAATTTGGCCAAGTGTAATTTGGTCATAATGAATTTTAACTATAATAAAGCTGTAAGGTCAGCATTAAGGTAAAGGATACCCGTACGAAAATTCCAGCTATAAAATAGCAGAAAATGAGATGGAAATTGGACGTTAAATCACTTTTCCATGCTTAAAACACAAATTTATATTTGCTTTTCAGATGACATTCAACAAAGCTTTCAACAGAGGCCGAGTTGTCCACAACCAGGAAGCCAAGAATTGGATAAAGAAGCAAAATATCGCCAAAGACGAGATTCAAATTCAGTGCTTTCCCCTTTATTCCATACTCCTAGCCTTAGATCAGTTGACTGTGGATTTCTTTAGTCTAGATGTGGAAGGAGATGAATTAAATGTATTGAAGACCATTCTATGGGATAAGGTGAATATAAAGATGTTAACAGTAGAGTATGTTCATGATGTGGGCTCATCAGGTGGGTTAAAGAGCTATGTGGAGAAACAAGGTTATGATTCAATGTTACAGGTCTCACGGTGGGACGGGGGAGTTAACGATATTATATTTAGAAAGAAAGGGTTGACTCATTAGGATATTTGTTTTAAAGATTTTGTTTCCTATCTGTGCCTTTAGACATAATTTAAACAATAATAATGTTTTAAACACTCTTTATATTCAACTAAAAACAGATTTAAATTTTGAAAATTATTTAAATACTATCAAATCTAAATATCTAAGGAGTAGTATTACGCGTTTAATAATTTCTTCGCATAATCTTAGAATTCAAACAGGTAGATATGGTAGGAATAGAATAGATAAACAGGAAAGATTATGCCAAGTGTGTCAATGCTCCGAGATTGAAGACGAGTATCATTTAATTATTTGTTTGGGTCGTCAGACCAAACAAATAATGGTAGCAAAATTTCAGACCCTGATGTTGTTAAAAGTAGTCCGCTTTTTTTGAAGCGGTTACTTCCCTTTATATGTACACTAACGCCGAAAAATTCTCTAGAGGAGATCACTGCGTAAAGATTGTCAATGACAGGCGCATTACTTTTCAAGCAAAATAATTCCCGAATGGTTGAAGATTTCTAATATTGTTTTATTCTTTATAGATATACATGCTTATAGTAAGCTCCATGATTATTTACATCTGTGTTAAACAACAGGTTTTTACGGAATACAAATTCTAATTTAGAATAATATGGTTTTCTTCATGCCATCACCGTGGCCGAGGGGTTTGCACGCTCGCTTAGAAAGCGAGTGGTCTGGAGTTCAAATCCCAGTTAAGGCAACTCATTTTTTTTTTAAATTGTTTAAGTCAAATAAACATTGAAATGAATATCAGTGTTGCAATTAGTCTTATAGCCAATTTACTACAGTTAAAACACTGGAAAGCATTGGTGGCACTATACAAAAACAAATTGGTTTATAATCTCACAACCTTCACCTTTCTGGTATTCTAAGACTCAAACAAATTCAGCGCCTTCTGTGCCTTGATTCTTATATGCAGTGTTTACCATGAATTAAGAATTCGATTAATTAAACGTAATTTTAACATAGACCCAGTATGTACAAATTCATAGAAATGCTGAAGTCAACAATAAATCAGTTCTTAACAATATTAGAAAATTTATTTATTTAGCCAATAAGAAAAGAAATGATTTATTGAATTCATATCCTAGACGACTATAACAATATTCATTATATTCACTGTAAGATACTTTATTAGTGAAACATTGCTATTATTCAATATCTATAATTCATGTTTATTAGAGCTTATTCTCCATATTGTATAAACTGAAACATTAATTATTCTCTTTCATTTGAATACCAACCGTGACAAAATGTTTTATATATATTACTACATGTAGTTGATGTATAACGAGATACATGTAAATGTAGAAGTTAAATAAAATTTTCTTCTTCTTCATAATTATTGAATATTCGAAGGAGAGAAATAAGTTATTCAATATATAAATGGGAAAACAAGGTTGTTGAATTTTGAAGGAGAAACCTAAGATTGTTAAAAATATTGACAGGGTAAAATAATGATGTAAGAATATTGAAAGGGTAAAATAATGATGTAAGAATATTGACAGGGTAAAATAATGATGTAAGAATATTGACAGGGTAAAATAATGATGTAAGAATATTGAAAGGGTAAAATAATGATGTAAGAATATTGAAAGGGTAAAATAATGATGTAAGAATATTGAAAGGGTAAAATAATGATGTAAGAATATTGAAAGGGTAAAATAATGATGTAAGAATATTGAAAGGGTAAAATAATGATGTAAGAATATTGAAAGGGTAAAATAATGATGAAAGAATATTGAAAGGGTGAAATAATGATGTAAGAATATTGAAAGGGTAAAATAATGATGTAAGAATATTGAAAGGGTAAAATAATGATGTAAGAATATTGAAAGGGTAAAATAATGATGTAAGAATATTGAAAGGGTAAAATAATGATGTAAGAATATTGAAAGGGTAAAATAATGATGTAAGAATATTGAAAGGGTAAAATAATGATGTAAGAATATTGAAAGGGTAAAATAATGATGTAAGAATATTGAAAGGGTAAAATAATGATGTAAGAATATTGAAAGGGTAAAATAATGATGTAAGAATATTGAAAGGGTAAAATAATGATGTAAGAATATTGAAAGGGTAAAATAATGATGTAAGAATATTGAAAGGGTAAAATAATGATGTAAGAATATTGAAAGGGTAAATAATGATGTAAGAATATTGAAAGGGTAAAATAATGATGTAAGAATATTGAAAGGGTAAAATAATGATGTAAGAATATTGAAAGGGTAAAATAATGATGTAAGAATATTGAAAGGGTAAAATAATGATGTAAGAATATTGAAAGGGTAAAATAATGATGTAAGACTATTGAAAGGGTAAAATAATGATGTAAGAATATTGAAAGGGTAAAATAATGATGTAAGAATATTGAAAGGGTTAAATAATGATGTAAGAATATTGAAAGGAAAAATAAGGTTGTTGAATTATAACAGGGGGAAAGTAAGATCCTAAGAATATTTAAAGGAAAAATAATAAAAACTTGAAGAAATAATTTATTGACATTTGATACTATTATCACTTATTGATGATGAGTTTTAAACAGTGTATTTAAGTACATTTATTGTATTGTTGAACATTAAATTGGTTAAGACAAAGATTGTTGAATATTCAATGGAAATAAATCAAATTTAATGGTTGACTATTTGATGTATAGAAGGCAAACATATATAATAATTGTAAACTTTAACCGCAGAGGAAATATTGTTGAATAGCAGGAAATAATGCTGAAATTGAGTCATATAATCAAATATTAATACAAAATATAACAAGATATTCAAAATTGCAGTAAAAGTGATGAATGACTTTAAGTTTGTGCTAAAATTGTTTAATATTAAGAAGGCAGATGTCTACCATATGATCATTTAAATCGTTTACGTATCTGGGGTGGGACTACAGTGTACTAGGTGGGGTTAGGGGAGCAAGACAAGATCACATAAAACCAGTCAGAAACTGCAAAATTCTGACTCGAGCCCCTGTGGAAAACCAGTAAAATGTAAACACCCTGAAATATTGAAATATGTAACGTAATATGTAACGTAACATTCAATTCCTCTTGTTGAAAGGAGACCAACTCTGGTAAAAAGAAATCCATAACCCACACCAGTATATAATTTTAAGTTGAAAATGTTGAGCATTTAAGTGATATTGCATTCAATGTATTGTTATACCAAAAATCAATCAGGTTGTCAATTATTAAATGTAAAACACTTCATAACCTGATTCAGTTTTTGCAAAGAACTCGGTTCATTACATAAATTATTACTTTATATTATTGTTGACATTATTTATGTAAATATGCATATGAAATAAGGAACAATTGCCTTTATAACCGTCATTGACTTTTTTTTAATTTATAGCAATGTCACTAGCCAATAATGTATTAAGGTATTAAGACGATATTTTGTTTTTATATAGTAATATACGCTGTATATTATACATATTGTTTTGATTATTTTTGTACCCAGTTCTTGTTTCAGCTTTAGTTTTGATGATTTGTCGGGATAAATTTTGTAACATAATTATATTGCATTGTTAATAGTTATGTATATGTAGATAATTATTAATTTATTATAAAGTTATATAAATAAACACAGATGTTTAGATAAAGTTATTTGCAAAGTGAATTAGTAATGTGTGTGAATGGAGGTGAAGTGGGAATAGCGGATTTCTTTTAAAGTAATTATATCATTCTTTTTAATATCATTCTTTATAGCGGCTGTAAAATATAATCCATCTTTATGGCAGCTGTAAAAATAATCCATCTTTATGGCAGCTGTAAAATATAATCCACCTTTATGGCAGCTGTGAAAATAATCCATCTTTATGGCAGCTGTAAAAATAATTCATCTTTATGACGGCTGTTAAATATAATCCATCTTTATGGCAGCTGTAAAATATAATCCATCTTTATGGCAGCTGTAAAAATAATTCATCTTTATGACGGCTGTTAAATATAATAAATCTCTAGGGCAGCTTTAAGATTTAATCCATCTTTATGGGGGCTGTAAAATATAATTCATCTTTATGGCAGCTGTAAAAATAATTCATCTTTATGGCGGCTTTAAAATCTAATCAATCTTTATGGCAGCTGTAAAAATGATCCATCTTTATGACGGCTGTTAAATATAATAAATCTCTAGGGCAGCTTTCAGATTTAATCCATCTTTATGGGGGCTGTAAAATATAATCCATCTTTATGGCAGCTGTAAAAATAATTCATCTTTATAGCAGCTGTTAAATATAATCCATCTTTATGGCAGCTGTAAAATATAATCCATCTTTATGGCGGCTTTAAAATCTAATCCATCTTTATGGCAGCTGTAAAAATGATCCATCTTTATGACGGCTGTTAAATATAATAAATCTCTAGGGCAGCTTTCAGATTTAATCCATCTTTATGGGGGCTGTAAAATATAATCCATCTTTATGGCAGCTGTTACATATAATCCATCTTTATTGTGGATATAAAATATAATATATCTTTTTGGCAACTGTAAAATATAATCCATCTTTGTAGCAGCTGTAAAATGCAATCCATCTTTATTGAGGCTGTAAAATATAATCCATCTTTATGGCACAGTAAAATATAATCCATCATTTTAGCAGCTGTAAAATATAATCAATCTTTATTGAGGCTGTAGAATATAATCCACCTTTATGGCGGTGTAACTACACCGGCTCTACATCCTTATTGTGGCTGTAAAATATCATCCATCTTTATGGCGGCTATATAGAGGATATTTGTTTGTTGTGCATGTAAGATTAAAATATATTTCACTGAGTGAACACCAGATGCAATATTTTTTACGCCACTCGTGAAAATTTAATAGCTAGTGTTCATGAATGAAATTTATTTCAATCTTATATGTAAAACAAATAAATTTTCTTTTCTTTATTTCATGCTTTAAAAGTGATACTTATTTTGCCGCGTTACGTCGTGCATTCTCCTTTATGACGTCATCACATCATGACGTCACATGATCATCATCAAATTTGAAATATAGTTCTGTTTAACTTTCTCTAATTTTGTTACACTTTTAACATGATGTATGATGAAGCAAAATTTACGTATGACGGCATTTATTTTTGCCTGTTATTCCATTAAGTTATGATATTCTTTTCATCCGCATTCAGATATAGTCCGGCTACAGTGAAAAGTATAATATTTTATAAATTTCACTAGTGGTTTATCAGAATATAATCATCTAAAATTACAGTAAAACACTGGAAAGCATGAAATAAAAAATGTAATCCATTTTTATGGTGGCTATGAAAATGTAATCCATCTTTATGGCGGCTATACAATTAATCCATCTTTATGGCGGCTATAAAATTAATCCATCTTTATGGCGGCTATAAAATTAATCCATCTTTATGGTGGCTGTAAAATGTAATCCATTTTTATGGCGGCTGTAAAATATAATCTATCTTTATGGCAGCTTCAAAATATAATCGATCTTTATGACGGCTGTTGAAAAGAACTCCATGCCAAAATCGAAGCTCTGGGCATTATATTTAACACAGGAAGACATAAATGTGCTTTCCAAGTCATTTGTCTATGTAAACTTAGTGACCCACAGTGTACTCTCAATTTTGACCCCAGGGAATGACTAACATGACCACAAAGTGGTGCCACGTGCCGTATATTTATGCTCTTAGCTTTTAGAGAAAACTATTTTAAAGGCTATTTACTACATGTA